TTACTTAACTGTAGAGTAAGAAGAAAAAATTTTTGCTGCTTCTGCATATCTACTGCTTTATCCTTGTATGTTGTAAATTCGGTCTGGAATAGCTGCTGGCAGGGGAAGAAGGGTTAGGTCTGGAGGGAGTTGCAGATACTGCCCATAAAGTAAGTAGAAGACCTGGAAGGGAGCAGTGGGAGGAATCAATATGCTGGAGAAAGATCTGAATTCCTGCAACCTCTGTGCTCTGATGTTTCACTTCCACTTTAGAAAAGGAAACAGCTTGTAAGAAACTGCTAATTTAGATAGGTTATGTATCAACAGACTTCAGTCTCCTATGAATTACATGAACAGTCTTATTTATTGCTGGAGGTTATAACAGGTTAACTCTGTGTATTGGGACTGTAATACAGTGTTTCACACATGAGCTGAACAACTGAAGTGTCTAGTCTGTGAAAGCTCCCCATCCAAACGCTTTAATTTGGAAAGACAAGTGAAACAAGGTTACTTATTTCTGGTGGAACGTTACAAGAACATACCTTGTAAGTATTTAGATTTTTCTCCTATAAGAGGAAAGGGAGGAGAAGATGATACTAACATCACTCTTTTCTGTAAGAAAACCCAATGAATTTTAGAAATGTTCTTTCTAGTGAAACCAAAACAGCTCTGGTTTTGAAACTGGAGCCAGAGTACAGTGATTCGTAAATTGAAACTAAAACATAACTTTGTATATCTTATCAGCATTATCTGATCACAAATGAGTATTTCCTAACTATAACAGCGGAATTCAACTCTTCAACAAAAATTCTTCCTGGATACTGAGCATCTCATTATATTTTAGGTTTTGCATAATGAAGTTACAGGACCCACTGTATGTGGACAAATGTCTTTTTTGATAGTAGGTTGCTACCCACATCTTTCTTTCATGTGGGATGATTGGAAGCACAGCTGCTTAGTTAGCATTTAGGTTTTCCTGATACAGTCATGAACATGAGTAACAATGTGCATACACGGATTTGAGAAAGTGGACAGACTGTCAAATCCATTGATCAAATGTTCAAAGAGATAAAAGCTGAAGGCATTTTTCAATGCTGTAAGACAGCTGTTAGTCTCTAATTCAGTAGTGAATGGTGAGCCGTAGGTGATGAATCCTCTAACTGCTCTTTTGCAAAATGTGCATACTCCTTGTTTTTAGAGATTACAGGGTTTCTTTGTTCTTTAAAGTTTTTCAACATGCACACATTCTCATCTTCCACCTCACTCTCCCAAATGCAATCATCTCTGTGTGTGATTGACCTAAGTGATCACCATGGTTTCCAATTCAATTCAGGTCCCCAAAGAGGTCTTTTAATTAAGAAGCTCTAATAGAATCTTGGAGAAAACTTCTAAGTCCCCAGGCTTCCGGCTGTGAGCTACAGATCCCAGGGGTGTCTGTGGCCAACTAGTACAGGACCCCCAACATGTCCTTTTTGGAGAGGTCATATCCTATGCAGAAATTTGCATAAGTAAATCTTAGAGATGTAGACATCCCATGGAAAATACCTGGGGATCACAAAAAGTTGAAAAGCTCTGTCTATAGTAGGCTGCTGTTGAGCAGTGGGTAGTCACTGAGCGTGTGGGGAGCTGGAAGCAGGTGCACACAGAAATGCCCACGTGTGAAGCTCTGACCACTGTAAGATGAACAGTCTTACACTGTTCGTGTAAGGCACTCTCCACCGACCTCACAGACAGATCAAGCTTTGTCGCAGCGGCAGCGCAGAGAAGACCACAGGACTTCACTAGTGCTTTGCTATATGTAAGAGTGCTCTTGTTTTGGTAGCAAGACCCGAAATATTTAAGAACTAATTTTTACCCAGGGTGTGTTTGAGCCAGCCATTTAACTTTAACCACCATCACCTGAATCGCAGACATGCACGTGGGTGAGATTTCCAAAAGTACTTGGGTCTGGTCTGTATTTATTTCAGCGGGGACAATCCCAGCTTGTGTGTGTGTATGTGTGTGGAGCAGTGTATGCTGATGTTTACTCATGCTCATATTAATCTCCAGGAAACAACTCGTGCTTGCTGGACTGGGGATGCAATGTTTGGTAATATTGTGCAGAAGTACTTGAGAACGCTTTCACACCAGGAACTCCAGTATTAGCCATGTATGAGAATAAAACGTGGGACTGAAAAACACTTCTAAATTCTTTCGAGTATGGTATTTGATGAAAAGCAAAGTCCCAGAAAACTGGAGCCACTTATAAACTTGAGATAACTTTGGTGAATAGTTCTTGGCTGGAACACAAAATGGAAAATTTAAATGTTCTGTGTAGATTGTTTCAGGATTAAACATCTTGAATTTTTGTTTCAAAATGCTCTCCCTTCTGGCAATTCTTTCAAAACTTCTGGTCATATAAATCTGAGTTATTGAAGATACTACTTGAGGACTCCTGTCAGAACAATATTTTGGTTTTGGTTTTTTTTTAAGCTCTTTATTTAGTTGAAAATCTCTGAAGTTTTCCTTTGGAATGTAGCTTGAAACAAATTTTTTTCAGCTTATTACTTCTCGGGTAGCTGGCTGAATGGAAAGTGCTTTTCAAATACCCAAGAGGGGACGACGGGAAAACAGAAGAAATTCATAAATAAGAGCTTCGGTTGTGATAAGTCTTCTCCCCTTGACACAGCAGCACTCCAAGGCCAGACCTGGACCACTTGTACAGAGGTACCTGTACCTTTCTGTATCTTGTAGTTTCACCAACGTGTGTCTAATGTGGGCCACTCTGCTGATTTATGGAAGTCATATATACTGCATTAATATAATGAGTGGAAACTTCCCTTAGCTCTCCCTCCACAGAAGAAACCTGAAAAAAAGGGAGTTGAAGTAGGACTGCACCATGCTGTGAATAGGGCACGGTAGTCATGGGTGGGAGGCAGACTGCAGGAAGGAACCAAACCCGAGTCATAATAATTCAACCAGTTCTGTGCAGAAAACTGCCCCTCTCTGAGCTCAGACTTGGGTTTCCAATCTGGTGAAAAATGAGGATGAAATACCTCCCTCGCTACCCTTTGAAAAACATTTCCGTACCCTCCGAGGAGCTACAAGAACAGCATCATTGTAACTGGGAAATGAATTGCTCGCTTGCTGGGCTTAGCAGCTTCCTGTTTTGGAAACCCGAGATACCATCTCAGATTTCTATTTGTTGTCAGCGTAGAAGAAGAGCCTCCAAGGCTGCAAAGCCTCTGGTGAGGCAGCGCTTCATTTGCTAATTGTTTCTGCCAGACAATGCCATTTACACTGAGCACAAAATCACCTCTAACCTCCACTGACCAGAAAATCATTACATCCTTGAACTCCCATCCTTCTGAAACAGTACGTGGCATTGCAAACTCGCGCTGCCTATGTCAGATCCTCTCACAGAACAACAAAATACAGGAATGTTTATTGCTGATTAATTCACAAACAGCCCTGTTCCCAGACCCAATTATTGTAAGCAACTGCATTATAAAAAAATGCCTGACTTGTCATACATAATGGAACGAATCTTCTGCTTTGAGGACCACCACGCTGTCCTTCGAGAGGCAACGAGAGCTGGGTGCAGGACTGGCAATTGCCGTAAGCATGCTGTGTGAGGGGCTAAGGCCTGTGCTCTCAGGCTGGACTGTGGCTATGGCGCAGGGGAGAGGCAAAATTAAGGTTCAGAGAGGCCCGTAAGGCTTTTTTCCTCCATAATTCAACATTTACTTAACTTGGAGCACTGAGAAAAACTTTGGATCGTGCTCTTCAGTTGGTGGACCTGTGGGGATGTCTTTGGCGGTGAGATGTTGCTCTTCGTTTTGGAGACAACATAGCACAGGAAACTGGCCTGACAGCCACAGCTCAGTTACATGCTATAGTGACTGCTAATGGCAACAGAATAAGGCAGTCATACCTCAGTCTACTTTCTCTAACACCAGTCTTTAAAGATCAGTAGGTTATGTGTATTTTTCCTTTGCTTCAAAGACTGGTTCAGGCATATCTGACTGGGATGTGACATCTCCCAGGGAATGTGGTTAAACACAGGCAAAGTCAACACTGCGGCTTTGGTGACTCCACAAAAACCTGACAGCCAGAGACTGTCATGGAAGTGAGTATATGGGCAGCAGCAACGCATCTCATCTCTTCCCTTGCTGTTTATGGGACTGCTAAATATCTTGCCTTCACATGAGGCAAGAATATACTGTAGGTATCTGAGTTGGTTTTACCCATTCCGCAGCAGAAAGACAGAAGCAGAGGTATGAATCAATTATTAAAAACTATATAAATATATATTAAATTATTTAAAATGATTAAATTATTCTTAATGACCTTTCCAAGAGTATCATGTCAAAATTACCACTGAAATATAACTTGGTTCTCTGCAAGGGAAGAAGTGATTCTGAATTAAGGGTGGAGAGTACCCAAATCATCTGGCGCTCCTCCAGCAAAAATGAGGGTCTAAAAGGTTTATTTCCATCCCATTTAAACAGAAAGAGAATATTAAACATCTGTGTGATGAAGCAAGGATAACAGGCAATGTACCGGCACTGGGTTGGAAGCAAAGCCTAGTGGTCTAGAGTAAGAAATTCTCTGGTTTTTATTGGGATTCAGTTCTATACCTCCAGCAGGGCTCCTGCTCAGAGGAGCTACGGCAGCCTTTTCCCACCCTCCATTCCTCACAGAAACCCCACACCACTGTTTCACTTCCTCTCTGTATCATGGGAAAGAGAGGGAAAAGTCAGAGGTAGTATTTTGTTCGCTTTGATTTCCAGTTTTTAAGACTTTGTACTAACAGCTGAAGCACTTAATTCTGTTATTGCCACAAAGGAACCTCGTTCTGCTTGAGTTACACTGAATATGTGTAGCCACACTTATGAAGAAATGCTCTTCAAATACCCTGTCCTTAATCTGACTATGAAACTAAGGGGCTGGCTTTTTAAGATGGCCCTCTTGAAGCTTGCCCAAAAGATTAATGTGTAAATGCAAGGAATGCTCTGGAAGCTCTTGAATGGAGACATTTTATTTCCAAATAACCACAGGAGTAACTGTTTGTAGCAAAAAGGTGATTAATAGCATTGTGGACAAAATACAGTGAGTCCCTAAACTTGATGGCATAGTATCTGGTATATTACCTCGATGTTAGAGTTTCTCACACTACCTTTGTTTATTTTTTCTGGAAGAAGCACAAGAAAAGCATGATGCTTGCTTAAATCTCCATGAATCCAAACATCTGAGGCTACATTACTCCTTTTTCCTGGCTGTGTTCCTCTCTGAAACCACTCTGCTTGCATGCTCACTCTCGTTTTTCCCATGAACTACAGGGTGTAGGCCAAAATACCCTTTGCAACTGGTAACTTGCTAGGCACACTAGGTTCCACTTAATACAACAAATGTTTTTTTCATAATGCTTGAAGTATCTGTGGCATGAATATATTAAGTACTGAAATTGGCAGGAAATATGAGGAGCAATTTTTGTTTTTCACAGGGTCAATTTTATTTGTCTGGTGAAAACATCTTACAATGCAAAAAAAAGTGAAGTTACATGGAAAACCTGTTCCGACAACCGTGTTAACAGTATTCAAGTGGTGGGTAGGAAATGCTCATACATGTGAAAACTGAGCACCAGCTTGGGGAGGTTCTTACTTGTATAATGACAGGATGCTCTGCAACGGTGCAGTGTCATGTCCCTGTCAGTGGTTTTAGCTACGGACTGGCATGTGTTTTTCTGGGGAAACAAGCCGAATCTTTTAGCATCCCCTTACTTGGGAACCTGTGTTGGTTTGCTAGGGCTGAGGGCACGAGCCAGTTCATTAAAGGCAACGTTGAAGGAAGCATCTCAGCAGCTGCTGAGTCAGTCGTTACCCCCCCCTCCCACCAACATCACCAAACTGATGAAAGTTCCAGCTTCTCATTTCTAAGAAAATAACTCTTAATGTGACCATGCACTGATATCCTGCGGCACTGAACAACAACTTAACAGTAGGGAGACTGTCGCCTGGAGCCAGGCTTAGGGAACGGTCAGAGGGTTGGTTAAACCAGCACAAGCAAGGGGGTGCTGGCAAACAAGACCATGTGGCTGGTGGCAGCAGCCACCTCACAGGTGAGAGCCAGCACCAGGACAATGCTGACGGGCACCCAGAGGGCACTGCAGTTGTCCCTTTAGGCATAAAGCAGCTCTCCTTAGCCAAATACATGACATGCTGGGGGAGGGAGAGACGTCTCAGCTACACATGCGCGTTGCATAATTGTCAAATATGCCCGTAATACAATGCTGTCAGAGGCAATTATCACTGCAGCGCGGTTGCTCTGGGAAGCCTTCCTCTCCTAGGCTGAATTGCAACTATCAAACCTCGGCTGGTTTGGCTGAAAAATGATCATGGCAGTGATCTCTTTTCACTAAAAAGGATTGTTTCCCACTCTGCTGTCATTAAAATGAAATAGAAACTAACCAAACACTCTCTTCACCAAGATTCTCTGAAAATGGAACATTTTTTGGAAAAAAGAACTGTAATTCAAACTGCAGCATTCAGTGCTGTGCCTACTTTGGTACCTAGCCAGTGAATTTTAAAGTAAACACCCTCCAGGACTGTTCTCCATTTGGATTTATTAGTCATTACTAAGAAAAGATAATTAGCACTTCTGAAGCATTGTGATAATCAGTAGCATGAACTGTTACCAATAGAAACGGACTGGCGTACTTGTGCAGTGCAAGAATATGGCAGCTCTGTTGTACTCCCTGTGCAGCATGAGGACACCAGTGGGCAGATCCTCAGCTGGAGCAAATGCTCGTAACTACCAACAACTCCCGTGGAGCTAATGAGAGACTACACGGGGTAAGGCAGGGAGGGGACTTGTTCCCTGGCCTGTTGGGCTTCTCCTTCTGTTATCCTGGAGGCTGAGTAATTTTTGTTACAATAGAAAAACCTTCTTGTTGGTCAAAGGCAACAGCAAATACTACCCATTTACTGTGCAACAGAAAAAAAAGAGAGGCTAATTATTTTTCTTTTGTATGCACCCTGCCAACACAGAGGAAAATAACCTTGTGGTGAAATGAGAGGAACCTGGGTGTGTATCTGGATCCTTTAGGCAACGATGCCTTCTTTCTCTTCCTCTTTCTAAACTAATGAGAAAACTCTGTTGGACTCAAAGTCAGTGCTAAAACCTGCAAAATTACCATTTAGCTTATTGTTCCCCAAACTACCATTAATCATGATCATTTGTAATAGTCATACAAGGGACGGGACGTAAACCTTATGTTCTTAGCCTCAAACCCTGAGCATTGAGCATGCCAAGCTCCCTGCTATACAACGAAGCATTACTTACTGAGCTCAGGGAAGCAAGTCTATTAGATTTATCAACGTTGCAATCTAAACAAAGACTATAATACACGTTTGTCTGAAGTAGTTGTCTTTGCTTTGCTGTACCTGGAAGTATGAACAAAATCCATGCTGCAGAGGTAGCATGTAAATTTGGGAAGGCTTCTGTTTTGGTGAGCACTAATGACAAATGCAGCTGGAAGATTTACTCCCCAAATACCTGACAGTCTGCAACAAACTGCCCTCTTTCCTGCACTGTACACAGCATTTCAGGGCAATGTAACAGCCCTCCAGCCAACGGGTGCTTCGGATCCTCTGGGGAGCATGTAGCAGGTCTTGGATTGAGTCCAGTATGCATGTAAAGTACTTTGTCTGCAATTGTTGTTGGGGCTGTGCTGTGCCATGCTGGTGGAGGGTACATTACCCCTGCAATTCCTACTGATGCTGGTGGCATTTACTCGTGTATGTCTTCCTTGCCACACCTGGAGCAGAGGCTCTTAGGACTGGAACTCCAATGCCCGTAACACTCATTAATGCACATGACAAACTTGGGACCACCCCGGCAACATCCGACTGGTTGATGCATTCAAACTTCGCGTGCACATTTGCGCCTCTCCTAGGAAGATTACTGCTGTGGCAAGTCTGATTATCACCAAGATGAAGTTTGCCTGGTGGCAAAAAATGTGATGGGCTGGTGACTGTTTACAAGCCACGCATGCAGAAATAAATGAGTCTGTGAGTGTTTGCTTTTTAGCTGCTGCTGGGAAACAGGCACCCTCCTGCCAGGTCACAGACTAGCTATGTTACAGACCTCTTAAAGCAGTTCCTCAACCGCAGAGGTGGTTGCATAGCTTGTACTCAAATAGCTGTCCGGCACACAGAGGTTGCTATGGCAGCACTTTACAGATATACGTTGCACAAGCAAGTGGTGATGTTGGACCACACCAACTCTTTTTTTGTGTCTTACACAGAAGGCTTGCTCCCACCCCGAGAACTGCGGAGCAGAACAAATATTGGAATATCTATCTATCTATCTATCTATCTATCTATCTATCTATCTATCTATCTATATCTACTTGTCTATTGTCAGATTGCATCTGACTGTGGAACTGGGTTTAAAACACCTGGGTAACAATTTACGTATTATGTCAATAATGACATCTCTCTCCCTCCCCTTCCCCCTCTCCCACCTGCAGTGCAGCGCAAGCCGACTTCACCGCATCCTTCACAGCAAAATGGGCCTCTGCTGCGTCTTTTTGTCTTCATGAAACTCATTTAATTCTGGTACTTTAACACCTACTCCCTCCTCTGCTGCTGGTGCTAGTGCAATGAGAAATGTGGCCGGGTAACACTGTCTCCTTGGGAACCTGCCTCTGGCCTAAAAAGCCGGGTTTTGGTGCCTGTGTGGCACTGGAAAGCCAGAGACCTCATGGGCTGAGCACACCTCACAGCTGGGCTGCTTTCACTCCAGATCCCTTGGTCAACAGATGAATAAACTGAGCTATTGCTCCAGCACAACTCAATGATAAAAATTAAAAATATTGGCCTGGGAGTGCAACAGGCTGCTGAGTGAAACCTGAGGGCAGTGTACATCTTCACACATAGGCGCCTTGAGGGGAGGCTGGGGGGGGGGCAGGAGCTCTGGTGTGGCCTGAGAGCAGCATGAGGGGCTCACCTCTCCATTAGCCTGCGTTTCCAAATAATTGTAAACAACGCTAACTTCAAGCCTGCTGCCAGAGCCTCAGGCTCTTTAAGAAATAACCCCTCCTCGTTTATTGCCTGAGGATATTATTATTTCTGGAATGAACTAGCTGTGGATCACAATACTGGGCAGAATTATAATACAAAGTGTGTTTTAGTGCAAACCTACTTATGAAATAGTCACAAATCTTCTTTGGACAGAAACAGGCACAGAGCCCCAACCTTTTGTGTAGCAAAGTGCCTGCAGCTTATTTCTGCATCATCTTCATCTTGGGACTGGTCTGGCTCTCGTGTGTCATGTGACAGCACAGCACAGCTCTGCCTCGCTGCCAAGGCCCCAGGGAAGGCCAAGCTCAGCTGAGGAGCAGCTTAGCAGGGCGTGTGCCAGCCGTGTCCCCTGCCCCAGCTGTGCCAGCCATGAGGCGGCCGCGTGGATTAGGAACTCTTCACTCACATCTGATACAATACGCAAAATCATCCTGCTCTGCTGAAGGCTCAACTCCATACCTCTAATGTGAAAATTCTACAGATAAGCCGAAGATTTGGTTTCAAGAAAGAAGTAATTCATATATACACATACAGCCTTAAGTGTACTTTCCCTTAAAAGACTGCTGCCATCTTTTGTATCATAAAAAGATGGATATGCAAATGTTTTGTGCCAGGAATGAAAATGCAGTAGAGCGCAGAGTTCAGTCACTATATACTGGTAATCACTATATTCTTCACTAAAAGTGATGCAACAGTTTCTTTAATAAGAATGAAGCTCAGAGTTTTTAAGTGGCTACTTCATGCAAGGCCTTTCAATAAATATGTAACTGGAGATACATATATGTTTTTAATACTAGTTCAACTGTGAACTGATTTGGTCTTTGGTCTTTCTGCTTTTGTGAATCATACTGCAATAGAAGCTTTTAAAAAAAATGTATTTTTAATTTAAATTGCTCTAGGCAAGCGCCACACTAAATATAGTGAGCATATGCACTATATAAGAGCAAGGCAGGAAAAAGGATTATCAAAATAGCTGAAACAATTTTGTAAACGGTATATACTGCATGTATATATGATTTAATTGTCACTCCTATCTTGTCAGATCTGTGTGGACATAGCCACATATTTAAGCACAACTTGGTCAAGTTAGTTGGTGCATTTACTCCTGTTTAGAGCAGGTCTGGGCTTTAATTCAGCGCTTGGGGTTTTTATCTTTAATGAAAATCGAAAGGTGCAAGTGCTTTCAACAGCTGTACTCTAGCATAATCTTTCTACAGTCACCTTGAACCAACACTCTGAAATAAGCCTTGCTATTAACAGGAGGTTAGTCAGGCACCTGTGAAGAAAAAGGCATTCTCTATTTCTGCCTATTGCAAATTCTTCTACAGTTAGGCTTGTCTCGGCTAAGCATGCAGACCCGAGCCCTCCCCTGGAATTATCTTGCCCACTTCCAGGTTACAATGGCACTTTTCTGTTGGGCTTTTTCTTTATTCGTTTGGTTTTGGTGTCTGTCCACAGAATGAACATGCTTAGCTGCAGGGCAAAGCTTCAGAGCTCCCTGGGTATGACAGTGAACGGGATGACAGGACTGCTGGATTCAAGGTCCAGAGCGGTGAGGAAGCATTCAATGGCTGCTTCGTTTTTCCCCTGAGCTTGCAAGACTTCCCCAAGGCTGTTCCAGGCCCTGTGACTGGTGGTCTGGATCCGGATGGCATCTCTGAGGACTTTCTGGGCCAGGTCCCTCCGCCCAAGTCTGCTCAGCACCAGGCCCTGTCAACAAACAAGTGACGAGCAGTTAAGAACAGCACAAAACAGAGGAAGAAATGGAGCACCCCGAGCTTCCAGCAAGCTGGGTCGATGTACGAGTGCAGGTGCAGGAGTCCTGTGGGGGGGAACTCCACCTATTTCTGGAGAAGAGAAGCCATCAGCTGTTACGCTCTGTTTTTTTTTTGATTGTGATGTGTAATTTAAAAAAAACAATTGTGAAAATATATTTTTTTAAGGAGAGACTGATCCAGTGCTGCAAGCACTCCTACTGCATGTTACTGGAGAGTGTATACAGGTGCTATATAGCAGAAAGGCTACAGGCCCTTTAATGCTTCCCTCTCTCCTTGAGTAGGTTACACTGGCTTCTGATCCCCATGAAATTATACACAGGTTCTAAATTTAACTCTTGCACATCTGGAACATGCAGCTGAGGCTGAGGTAAAGTCTTTCAGCTCCTATATCCTGACCATACAGAAAGATCCTTCTTCTTAACAAATGGGGCTAGAGGGACACAGCCCCCTTCCAGCCTTCTAGGGGCAGGCTGTATGTAACAGCATGGGGCCCTCTGTCCTTCTGCACTCCAATGTAGATCCTAAAGCAGTGTGGGGGAGGAGAAGGATGGAGGAACCTTGTTTAAAAAGCTGTCCTTAGGGTAAGAAAAGACACAAGTGGGTGTAACCATCTGGAAGGAACAGGAGGGGGAGGATGAAAGAAGTGGTAGGAAGAACATGTTTTCCTATAGGGCTTGCATGGATGCATCTGAACCCACAAAGCATCTAATGAGCCAGGCTCCCTTTTAATTATACAGCAGTCAACCACAAGGAGCCCAGATGGTCACGTGGGCTTTGCAGGCCACAACATATTAGTGGCATTTTTCTGCTTCCTCCTGAAGGTGCACAGACCAGGATGAACCTCCCACTAGTTTTATCCAGGTGTGGCTTGTGGAAGAAGCATTTTCCTGTCACCTGCCAAGCTCTGCATGGCCTCTGCCTGCACTCACCCACGGAAATGTTGGAAAGTGAGATGACTGCCTGACTTCACGCTTTGCCTGGGACTACAAGTAGTACGTGGATGAATATATATAAAGAAAAGCATCACCTTCACCTTTAATGTGTCTAATTGCCTGTAGTTGATATGAAGACGTAAGAAACCTGTAATCTCCTGCAACTAGAACCCAAGTAAATTTCTGATAAAAGAATGGTGATGCTTTTGGAAGCAGTGAAGATTTTTCCTTTGCCTTGTTTGCTTTTCCAAAAGTGCCATTAGACGTAGGATGCATCAGCATGACTAAGACCCTATAGTCAGTTATAGTACTAATACCTACAGCAACACACTGCTTTGCCTGAAAGAAAAATTAAGAAACACCCATTTAACCAAGTATCAGCACTACTGTGAAAAGTTTCAGTGCCCCTTTCTTGCCCATAATCTTGACCTGAATAATCATCTCAGTATCAGATCTGATTATTTAGAGATGCAGTGGGGATGTTTTTTCTTTAGGTTTCTCTCTCTGTTGGAAAATGGCGAGGCAATGGGGCATAATCTTACTGTCCCCTTTCAAGCAGGCACAGGTGGCACAGAGGTACCCCGATGGGACAGGCTGGTTCCTCTGGAGGTAGCTGCCTGGAGATGACCACAGGCACGTAATGACAGACTGGAAGGAATTTGTGCAATTATAATTTGAGTCACCCGCTTGGCAGGGATAATGAGGCATAGAAAGGGCAAGTAGTGTGGCCATAGCAAATCTGCTGCTAAGCCAAGAATAGATGGGAGCTATCTCAGCTCAAGTTTGTCCTCAACCACAAAACCACTCTTCCTAAAAACTCTTCCTGTTGGGCTGACCGAGCAGAGCCGACTGTGCTCTCTGGTGGCTGGGGACCCATTGCTGTCCTCACCCTGACACTAAGCAGCATCAAGCCTCTCGATGCTCTGGAGGGCTGCTGGCCCCAGAGGCACAGGGGCCAGCCGAGCCTGTGCAGCTGCTGCCTGTCACCCCTCTCCAACGAGGAGAGGAATTCCCTCCCCAGCTGACATCTCGCGCCTCTCAACAATGCTGCAGTGAAATCCACCTCATCATAAACTGCTCGTGCAGCACAGCTCCCTTGTCTGCCCCAGTACCCATGCTGGTCAAGGACCAGAGGCCGGCGTGGCTTCCCCTCCCACCGCTCCCCAGTGCAGAGCCGCTGCATTTATTGTGACTCTGCTCAAGGTCCTTGCAGCAGGTTTGCAGCACTGGGAGGAGGCTGTAGGCAAACCCCAGGTACTGTGTTCATCTGGGGGAGATGCTGAAGCTGATGCCCACCACTAAGTGCAGCACACATGAACATTTGCTCATCAGGATCCAGTGCTTTCAAGCACACCAGTTTAGCTGAAAAAACACCTGTGAACCCTCAGAAAGGGTGATCTCAGGCTCCCCAAAGCCAGGGGATAGCCTCTTATTGATGCTGCAGTATACTGCATGAGTGAAAAAACTGCTCTATGTTTTTGGGAAGAAACACAGGAGGAAATATTTGCTAAAGGAGGTAAGATTCTGCCACCCCCCACTTACATGCACGACTGTTAGATCCAAGGCTGTCTTCTTGCCTATGTGCCTGGACTTCCAGGTGGTATGGGCAAGATGTGCTGAGCTTCAGGCCTCAGCCCAAGTGGAGGTCGGGGTGTGGCCAACCTGCTCTCCAACCCAGGCCCCGCCAGTTTTCCCAAACCCCAGCACAGAGACCTGCTCCTTTGCCCAGTGAGCTGTGACAGATGGTGTCAGCCCTTCCAGTGAGGCTTAACTGAACCGGCAGAAATATGCTGCTGGATGTTTAAAGGACAGGTTGAACATCATTAATTCTGAATGCAGGAGAGTTTCTTGCTTTGGGTTTCCTATCTCTCCTCCTCCCCACCCTGCCCCTTGCAAACCACAAGCATTTTCTGAGAGCTGGAGGCAGTACAATTGCCAAGCCTCACAAAGATGCAGCACTGAGCACTTTAGGTTTTTGTTTCCCTGAGGTATCTGCACTTGAGAGCTTCTCCTTGCTACTGAATTTCTTATTTCCCCATAGAGTCTGGCTTGCTATAAACAATGCCTGCATGTTGTTGCTATGTAGGTCCAGCTGGAATCTGCCTACAGTGCAAAAGAAAAAAAAAATTTCAGAAAGCCACCCACTGACAGGCAATTTGCATTTTTATCTGGAAGATTTTTTTTTAAAAAAAAGATTTTTCTAATGAAAGTTCAGTTCCTGAGTTTCTATGGAAACTCATCTGCTTGGTGTGCATGCATAATTTCATAAAGTCAGATCTCAGGAAGATGAGCAATTAGTATAAATGCAAGCACGAATGTGATTAAGGGTTTCATCCTCTTATTCCTGAAGATGGAGGGTGGGGCTGGGTTTTGTTGTCTTTCCTTGGTTTTATTTGTGCTTTTGCCAAACTAATGCAGAAACCGGTGTACAAGGTAGCCTCACTCCTTTGTCACCTCCTGACTAGCACTGGCACTTGTGGTTTTGCCAAGTTATTTTCCTCCCAAAGATGGTGAGTACATCCAAGTATGGTCTCCTCTGCCAGTGTTGTTGGTACCAAGTCAGGCCCTAAGGAGCAATGAGGACAGGCTTCTTTTTAAACTCACGCATATTATAAATAGTAAAAAACCCCAAATGGAACCGAAAGGTGCGTGGGAATCATTTTGCTTTCAAGCTCCTGTGGGCAGCATGTCGCTAGGGCTTGCACCAGGCCTGTCCTGGCATTTCATGTGCTCCTCCCATTTATACAGCTGTACAGTGCATGGATGCTAACTCACTCACTCACTCAATGAAGGCTGAGGGTAACCCATGCAGATTAATTTAATTTTTTTCTTTACGTCTGAAGACGTACTTCGTATCTTGTAAACAGAGGCAGAGTAATGAAGGTTGTGTTTTCAAGCCAGACTGTAGAAGACGTCGCTGAAAGCACTGGAAGAAATTCATTTGAGGTGAAGGGCTGTGGCTCAGTGAAGCTTGGACAGTCTAGTGGTGCATGAAGGCAGAGGGGAGACAGTGAATTCAGTCTGCCGATTTAGGGTGCCTCATGCTGGCAGCTGGACTCCTGAATTTATTGTTTTTAATTTCAGGGGACAGGGGATGCATATGAGAAGCTTTTTCAAAGGTATTTTTGAACTTGCCCTCAAACAAAATGAACAAAACCTAAACCACTTCTATAGTGACACTGGATTGGACTCCCTTGCCTTTAGTGATGTGATACTTAGTAATTGATACTTGAGTGAGGCTATTTTTGTTTCAGAATAGGAGAGCCATATTTCAATTTAAATTAGATAAGCAAAAGTGACTTTTTTTCAATTTCTACTAATAAAGCGAGTTTAAGTCCCACGTCAGAAGGTTGAGAAATTTCTGATCTGTGCCTTTATTTCCCTAAAGTTTGACAAAAACCTCCTTAAAAGTTGTTAGTTTATAAAATTCCCAGAAAGTAGTGCAGAAAAGATATTATGGAAGACTAAGAAATGAGCCTCATGTACAAGCTGGAGTTTATTTTTAGTAATGAAAGTCAAAACTTCCTTTGCAAATGTTTAGTTCAAACACCTGATGAGCTGCAGAGAACTATCCTGAGTCTTGGCATCCTTGTCTCCTTTCACTAGGGTGGCATGGATTTATTTACTTGTCCTTTCCTTTGGGGCTTGCATTGGAAAGAGAAGTCCAAAAACCCATTTTATTTCATTCCTGGAAGATTGTTTTTTGATTTGTTTTCATGGTCATCTAATTCTTGGGAGAATCTCTCTAGGTGGACTAGACTCTATCAATGATTTACAAATTTATTTTAATAATTACTTTAAATAAAGTTCTCTCTTTCTTTTCATGCGACTCATATTCCAAAGTGAAATTGTCCCTGATGCTTTTCCCAGCTGAGCAGAGCATTTTCGCCCATTATTGTCTAATACCCTAAGAAGTTTCCAGAATAAATTAGACTTTGCTGTTGAGCTTCTGCTAGTGTATTATTTAATTAATTTCAAGGTAAACGGGGTATCCTTACTG